GCAGATCTGGGATCCTCCATATCTCCGGGGGGAGTTCGTTCCAGATAGTAGGTGCCCTCACAGAGAAGGCTCTCCCCCTGGGCGCCGCCAGTCGACATAATTGAAGCCAAGCTGCCTGAAAGCGGTTTCCGATGCTCTCAGTGGTGGCAGAGCGGCAAAAAACTGTTGAAACTCTTGCTGCGGCGCTTCAAAAGGCTGCCCTACAGCTGATCAGTGGTAAAAGGCAGTGTGGTGGTAGACTGGTGTGCTCCAAAAACAAATGGGTAGACCGGTATGGCTTTGCAAGCAGTTAAAAGCCTGGTAGACCAGTACCTCTGCTAAACCCTAAAGAATTGTCACATGACCATCAAACCATGCCCACAAAATAAGCAACGCCCACAGAACAGTAAAGTAAAAAAATTTAGAACCCATCCCTGGGCTACGACCTTCATTTGGCAGCACTCAGGGCTGAAACACTGGACCAAATTTTTAGATTTCCTTCTTTTTTGTCCATCCTTCTTCTTTTTTTTTTACAGCATCTCACCAAACAACAAAGCTCCAGAAAACTTGCAAGTCTACACTCATCTTTGGGATACTTGCAACACTTCACTTAGCGACCGTTTGAAGTTACAACGGTACTGAAAAATGTGACTTATGACCATTTTTCACACAGATGGCTGTGGCAGCATCCTCCACGGTCGTGTGATTTACATTTGGACCCTTGACAACTGACTCACATTTATGACGGTTGCAGTGTCCCAGGGTCATGTGACCCCCTTTTACAACCTCCTGACAAGCAAAGTCAATGGGGAAACCAGATTCACTTAACAACCATGTTACTAATTTAACAACTGTAGTGATTCAGTTAACAAATGTGGCAAGAAAAGTCGCAAAATGGGGCAAAACTCACTTAACAAATTTCTCACTTTAACAACATAAATTTTGGACTCAGTTGTGGTCATAATTTGAGGACTACTTGTATTTGAGTTTGGACAGTATTATCCTGCTATAGATATTAAATTCTTTTCATGGACCAATACATTTATCACTGCTTTTGATTCCATGCATTTTTTTTTCCAACGGAAAGTTTAAAATAAGTTTCCATTGCTTCTTCAGAACTGAACTTGCTGATTATAAAACATTAAACAAGGATCAGATTTGATGAGCATTTAGATGGGAATTTTTGAGCCTGTAGATTAGACTAGGAAATTAAAAAAACAAAACAGCCCCTCCCAATATTTTGGAAGAAGGCAATAGTAAATCTTCTATGTTTTTGCCAACAAAGCTTTATGAGTGTAACTGTATCTGGTTTTGCATTCTTTTTCAATGACATGAAACAATGCACAATTTAGTCTGTGTAAAGCAACATGGTAATTATCTTTTATATAACTTCCTCCCCATAAACAGAAGTAAAATGTCAAAAAAGGACTAAGCTCTTCTATCTGATGTATTATTTTTGTACGTGCTATTTAGAGTGGTTGCTTTAATACAGGCAATCCTCTACTTACAACCATTCACTTAGTGACCATTTGAAGTTACAACAGTACTGAAAAAGGTGACTTATGACCACTTCATACATTTATGACCATTGCAGCATCTCCATGGCTGTGTGTTCAAAATTCAGGCACTTAACAGCACGCATTTATATCAATTGCACCGTCCTGGGGTTATGAGAGCACCATTTGTAACCTTCTCAGTTGGCTTCTGACCAGCATTCAATGGGTGAAGGAAGATTCACTTAACAACTGCATGATTCATTTAACAACTGCAGTGATTCGCTTAACAACTGTAGCAAAAATGTCATAAAGTGAGGCATAACTCAGTTAATAATTGTCATGCTTACCAGTGGAAATTTTGAGTTCCATTGGAGTTGTAAGTTGAAAACCTGTTTAAGCAATAGACAAACATCCTGTGATAATATGATACAGTGAATAGGCAAGCAGCAACTATATCAAAGATGCTTAGCTTTTTATTAAGCAGCAAGACCCAAATTGGGAGCGGCCTGATGGCTTACAGATAGGCCAAGTCAACATAGAGGCACATTACAGTGTTAAAATGAATGTTCATATAGAAAAATCAGAGCTTTATTCTCTAGGTTTTCTTTACTACAGTATCTTCAATATTTTGAATATATCAAGATGCAATTATATATTTGTGGTACCTTGAAGCAAGCTGCAATTCAAAACAGTACTATTAATAATTTTGGTTTGTGTACATTGTTTGGTTGGCCCTGTTTAGTATTTAGATCAGGGACCATCTGGACAATCCAAGGTTGAGCACTATACTGGGAAGCCAAGAAAAGGTAGGAACATATCCTTAAGGGAGCCACTTTGGTGCAGTGGCTAAGGTGCTACTAGGTAGAACCTGGAACACTGAATTCTAGTCCTTTGGGGGCTTGGAAATTGGTTGACTTTGAAAAGATTAACTCATGACAACTGGACCAAAGTTTATTATATTATATAGTTGGAATAAATCATAGTCTTGCCATACTCTCTGCCTATCCAAAATTTTCATTTGATTGAAAACATTACTTGGATGATCTCAGTTTTAATAAACTTTGGTCCAGTTGCTATGATTTAATCTTTTTAGATACTTTTGGCCTGGATGATTGAATCGTCATTTACATGGTTGACTTAGAACTCAACCCATATCATAAAATTTTTGTGGTAAGGAAAATAGGTGGAAGCATTACCCGAAAATAAGACCCTGTCTTATATTTTTTTGAACCCTGAAATAAGCGCTTGGCCTTATTGCCATGTGCTCAAAAGCCCGATTGGGCTTATTATCAGGGGATGTCTTATTTTGGGGAAAACAGGGTATGGACGCTGTCTTGAGTTGTTAAAAAAATAAAAGTAGGATACAAACAGTGTTTTGTGTGTATTGCCAACAAAACTGCAAATATGTGCCTACATCATTATCAAAACTCCTCCTAGCTGGGGAACAATTTTACATACCGCAAAGGCTAGGCCCACAGACTGTGCATGCTACAAATCATCCTGCTCATATCCAGTATTATAATGAGCAACACCACAAATACAGGTAGTTCTCGACTCACAACCACAATTGAGCCCAAAATGTATGTTGCTAAGCGAGAAATTTACCGTGTTTTGCTCCGTTTTATGACTTTTCTTGCCATATTTATTAAGTGAATAACTGTAGTTGTTAAATTAATAACTTGGTTGTTAAATGAATTTGGTTTCCCCCATTGACTTTTTTTGTCAGAAGGTCGCAAAAGGGGATCACATGACCCCAGGACACTGCAACTGTCAAAAATATGAGTCAGTTGTCAAGCATCTGAATGTAAATCACGTGACCATGGGGAAATGTTGCAATGGTCATAAAGTGTGAAAAATGGTCATGTCACTTTTTTCAGTGCAGCTGAAACTATAAGTCACTAAATGAACTGTTATAAGTCGAGGACTACCTGTACACAATTAACATTAGTTCCCTGTGCCTGGATTTGCACATCTCTTGGTGAGCTGAATGCATACACAACCTCTGCTTTTTTTATGCTATCGTACTGTATACTACTTTTTGCGTTGTCTACAGTTGTTGCTCTTTGTTAGTCCACTTGAGAATAGCCTTGACTGAAGAGGCTTATAAATTCACAAACCAATAATTTTTGTCTGCTTTTGGCTTTGCGTATCGCAATCCCCAACTAATAAATCTTACCTTCAATCTACAATTCTACAGAGGAATTATTGAGTCTGTCATCTGCACCTCCATAAATATCTGATTTGGCTCTGCAACCACACAAGACAGACACAGACTTCAATGGATAATTAGAACTGCAGAAAAAACAATTGCTATCAACCTGCCTTCCATTGAGGAGCTGTATACTGCAGGAGTCAAAAAGAGGGCTGTGAAAATATCTACAGACCCCTCACATCCTGATCCCCTTGTTTCAACTTCTATCCTTAAAACGACGCTATAGAGCACTGCACACCAGAACAACTAGACATAAGAACAGTTTTTTCCCGAATGCCATCACTCTGCTAAACAAATAATTCCCTCAACACTGTCAAACTATTTACTAAGACTGTATTACTCTTATTCTTCTCATCCTTCCTATTACCCATCTCCTCCCACTTATGACTATAACCAGTGGTGGGATTCAGCCAGTTCACACCACTTCGGGAGAACCGGTTGTTAACTTTCTGATCAATTTGGCAAACTGGTTGTTGGAAGAAATCATTAGGGCAGAGAACCGGTTGTTAAATTACTTGAATCCCACCACTGACTATAACCAAGTTGCTTGTATTTTTACGATTTATATTGTTCTGTTTGTTTCCTAGTATGATTTGATTGCTAGTAGATTGCTAGAGCTTTCATTTATGTTAGTTGATCTTAGGCGTTATTTTGTTATCTTGTGAAATTAAGGATATTGTACAGTATTGTTTGCATACTCTGTTGTGTCTACTTTCTTTGGTACTAATATTTGATTAGTAACCTATGACTATCACTAAGCGTTGTATCTTATGATTCTTGATGAATGTATTTTTTTCTTTTTTTCCCTTTTATGTATACTGAGAGCATATGCACCAAAGACAAATTTTTTGTATGTCCAATCACACTTGGCCAATAAAGAGTTCTATTCTATTCTATTCTATTCTATTCTATTCTATTCTATTCTATTCTACCAGGTATTTTCTCCACAGCGAGCAAAGCGGACTTCCCTTCCACTGGTTCTTCAGAAAAAAAAAAAAAAAAAAAGCCAGAGTCCCACTTTAAGAGCGCGCACTCTCAGCCCCGCCGCCGAGCACCGAAGCTCCGCCTCCTTCCTTACTATTGGTCCTAAGCGCTGGTTGATTCCCCCTCCCCTCGGCGCCGATCAGCCCCCGCCCACACCACGAACAGCGACTCCTCCCTGACGAAGCCCAAAGAGCCGTTGGCGCCCCTACCTCTTGTCAATGTTCGCGCAGGCGTAGTTCTCCCGTGAGGCCCGCTTTTCTCAGAGCTCGCGCCCTCTCCGCCGCAGGACTGACTGGCACGCCCCGCGCGAGGGAGGAGGGGCGGGGCGGGGCAGACGTTGGGACGTTAAGGCCGCGCGCTGTGTTGCCGCCTCCACCGCGGTGGTGGTAGTTGTTGTTGTCGTTGTTGCTGCCGCGGCCGCGGCCGCATTGGGCCCTCCCCAGCCTGAAGAGGGTCCCTATCGCCAGGCGTTGCCCACCGGCCATGGTCCCCCGCTTGTCGCCTGGCAGGAGGCAGGAGGCGCGGGGGCAGCAGCATCGGCCATTGCTGGAAGGGGCTTCCCGGCGAGGGCTATGACAGGATGGACGCGGACGAAGTGACCATCCGCGAGCAGAACTTCCACAGCCAAGTGCGGGAATACACGGTGCGTAGCCGCCCGGTGACGGCGGGCCGCTTTCTGCCTCACGGCTGCTGCTGCTGCTCCGGATGCCCGTTCCCGCCCGTTGTCCCCGGCTGAGGCGGGGGGCTGCGACCCACCTGAAGCCACACGGCCTGCCCTCGTGGGGTGAGGGGAGGGAGCCCCTTTCTTTCAAATCACCCCCTGGCTATTTTTGGCTTTGGGTCTTCGCGCCTTTAAAGTCACTTTCTCTCTTTCCTCCCCCCCCCCCCCCCCCCGCCCTTTAAGGAAACAGGTTGAGCCACTTGTGCAAAGTGTTTTATGTTTGTTTATTTATTTATTTATTTTTACTTTGGCAGTTAATAAGGCAATGTTTCCCCTCGTGTATTGGTTGTGAAGGCAAAATGCAATAGGAATGTGATTTACAAATCCTTTTTTGTTGCCATTTCTATCTATCTATCTATCTATCTATCTATCTATCTATCTATCTATCTATCTATTAGTTTGATTTATATGCCGCCCTTCTCTGGAGACTCAGGGTGGCTTACAATGCTTTTAAGCAATAGCCTTCATACTTTTGTATATACCTGCTTAGTAGGGCTTTTGGCCCCTCCTAAGCGGTGTTCTAGTTTGTACAAAGTCAGCTTATTGCCCCCACAATCCGGGTCCTCATTTTACCTACCTCAGAAGGATGGAAGGCTGAGTCAACCTTGAGCCTGGTGAGATTTGAACTCGCAGTAATTGCAGGCAGCTGGCAGCTAAGTACTATTTTAACGGTAGTTTAGTCCACTGTAGCACCAGGCTCCTCTACCCTCTGCAGGTCAAGATATCTCATTTCCACGCTCTTTTTGAGGGGAGAGAGAGAGAAGCAGTCAAAACAATGTAGAGTTCAATAGTTTCAGGCTTTACCATTGAAGCAGGTGGAAATTTAGGGCGGAGGGTTGCCATCCTCCCAACCCAGTTAGCATCATACAGATAATATTCCTTCAAATTATAACCGCAACATTTCTGTTGCTAAGTGAAACAGTTGTTAAGCGGGTTTTGCCCCGTTTTATGACCTTTCGCGCCACGGTTAAGGACTCATCGGGTGGTTATTTATTTATTTATTTTATTTATTGGTTTGATTTATATGCCGCCCTTTTCTGGAGACTCAGGGCAGCTTACAAAATGCGTTAAGCAATAGCATTCATACTTTTGTATATACCTGCTTAGTAGGGCTTTTGGCCCCTCCTAAGCGGTGTTCTATTTTATACAAAGTCACCTTATTGCCCCCACAAACCAGGTCCTCATTTTACCTACCTCGAAAGGTTGGAAGGCTGAGTCAACCTTGAGCCTGGTGAGATTTGAACTTGCAGTAATTGCAGGCAGCTGGTGTTACTTAACAGTGCTTTAGTCTGCTGCACCACCAAGGCTCTTGTACATAGTAACATGGTTAAGTGAATCTGGCTTCCCCATTGACTTTGCTTGTCAGAAGATTGCAAAAGATCACATGAACCCCGGGGACTTTGCAACCGTCATAAATACATGCCAGTTGCCAAGCATCCAAATTTTGATAATGTAAGCACAGGGATGCTGCAAAGGTGGTAAATGTGAAAAATGGTCCTAAGTCACTTTTTTCAGTTGTCATTGTAACTTTGAACGGTCACTAAATGAATGGTTGTAAGTTGAGTACTATCTTTATTTCTACTAGATGTAAGACAATAGGCAACATGGGAAATTTTACTATTGATAAACATTTGGCTCACAAACATAAGTGTAGTAATTATACTTTTGCCACAAGTGACATGCTTAAATGTGTTTGTGATACATATGGAAACTGAAAAGTGGTAATCCTTTGAACCTTTATACCAAAATTATGTGGTGGAGCCTGGTGGTGCAGTGGACTAAACTACTGTTAAAGTAGTATTTAACTGCCAGCTGCCTGCAATTACTGCGAGTTCAATTATCACCAGGCTAAAGGTTGACTCAGCCTTCCATCCTTCTGAGGTAGGTAAAATGAGGACCTGGTTTGTGGGGGCAATAAACTGACTTTGTATAAAATAGAACACTACTTAGGAGGGGCCAAAAGCCCTACTAAGCAGGTATATACGAAAGTATGAAGGCTATTGCTTAAAAGCATTGTAAGCTGCCCTGAGTCTCCGAAGAAGGGCGGCATATAAATCTAACTAATAAATAAATATGCTTGCAGCTTTAAGTTACTTATAAAGTAATAAAGGTGGGATAAACATCTTAAAAATAATAATTGTAAATATGAGACATCTATATGGTACCAGGAATGGGGAATAAAAGTTACCAGATATTATATTGTAATATTATGCCAGATAAAGAAAATTATATATATATATATAACTTTTTATTTTTATTTTTTAAATTAAATTTAGAGACCGCCCATCGCACTGAGCAACTTTGGATAGTGTACAATTAAAAGCTGAAAATCGTATAAAGACCATACTTTTGTAGGGGACATTTAAAACAGGAGTATAATAATTAAAATGAAAAAACAAGGGAAGGATTTCAAAGCACTAGCCAACCCAAAGGTAGACTACATCTCTGAGCCTCAAGCAAATAATCAGAGCCAGGTATTCAAACTCTTCTGAAAGACCTCATTTTTGGAAGGAGGATATTCCAAAGGACAGCACAATTGCAGAGAAGGTTCTCTTCCTGTACCCTGTTAGTCAAAATTGGTTCCTTTTTTTTTTTTTTAAATTTGATTTATAGGCCGCCCTTCTCCGGAGACTCAGGGCGGCTTACAATGTGTTAAGCAATAGCCTTCATACTTTTGTATATTTATACAAAGTCAGCTTATTGCCCCCCCAAACTGGGTCCTCATTTAACCTACCTTAGAAAGGATGGAAGGTTGAGTCAACCTTGAGCCTGGTAAGATTCGAACCTGCAGAAATTGCAGGCAGCTGTGTTAATAACAGGGTGCATTAAACCACTGTACTACCAAGGCTTTAAAAGGCCTTAAAAGCTTGGCTTGAATTCTGGCTTAATTTAATACCTATTTTTCATTTTGGTGTTAAACTGCTTTATAACATTAAGTCATACTGCGTCAGATCATTATTTAATTTAATCCTACTATCCAAGTAATAGTCCACCCATTCTCTTACTGGCACAATGGCTAAATGTGATTTTTTGTTCCCATATTATGCCTGTAGCAGATGCATTTCATTAGTTTCATAGGCTTATATTATCTTTCACATTTCACTTTTCATCCAAAAGAGAAATATAGATGTAATCCACTTTTCTTTTTATTATATTTATTTGTAAAAGTATATGCCACCTGTAACATTGTATATTAGCTTTTATTAGCTTCCTGAATTTTAATACTCCCATATGTTAATAATTACAGGCAGTTCTCACTTAACAATGGTAATTAGGAATGGCAACTCTGTTGCTAAGTAACACAATGATAAAATTCTATGTCATGTGATTGCAACAACTTACAACATTAGTTGCAATAGTCACAGCTGGTGTCATTAGGTGACTCTTGTACCTGGCAGCATCCTGCAGTCATTTGCAACTTCCTGTTAGCTTCCCCATTGACTTTGCTTGTCAAAATTTTTCAGTGAAGGTCAAATAGGATGATTATGTGATCATGGGATATTCAACTGTCAAAATTGTGAACTGGTTGCCAAGTGCCCAAAATGCAATCGTGATTGTGGGGAGAGTGCATTGTCCACAACTGTGAGGACCTGTCATAAATCCCCCTCATTTAGCATCATCACAACTTTAAACATTTGTTGAAGGAGTGGTTATTCAATGAGGACTACTTTTATACCACATTGAATGATATGACCATCAATTGCAAATGCATATAATTTGTCCCATTTTCCTGGTATGATATTGTATGCTCTAAATCACTCTCCTAATTCCTGTATATATTGAGTTTTTCACTGTAATGTTACAGTGAATTATTCTGACTGGTTTGTGTTATCCAACGTTGCATTGTTTCACAGTGCATATAGTACATAGTGCTTTTAAAGAGCTATTTGAGATTTTTCTAACTCAATGTTGTCATTTTTTGCCATATCTTATTAAATCAAAGGGAGGAATCTGTAAGTGCTTTCTAGTGGACAAGTCAGTATAGCCTGTATTCATTTTTGAATAGCTAAACATGCAAACTTGAGCATAATAATTTGTGTCAGTTGATTTTTTCACTGATCTGCTTGTTGGTTTTCTTAGGGGTATATGATATTCTCAGGGGCCTTCTTCAAAACCAAAATGGAAAAGTGTCAATATTGTTTCTATCTTGCTGCTTTAAAATCTAACTTTCACTTTTTTACAGGGTCACAAGAGAAACTTCCCTGCAGAATTTTGATCTTTGTAGGTTTAGATACATGTGAATATCTTTTACAAAGCCTTTCAGGCTACTCTATCAAGTGCTTGTCTGCAGTGTATTTCTTGACTGCTTGTTCCTTTACTATTCTAAAAGGCAAAAGCTACCCGCCATTTCACTATCTTCACTATCAATTTCAAGGCTGGGTTGCTATACTTCTTGTATTCTTGTATGAACTGCACCAGTAAAGGCTAAACCAATTTTGTTGTATACATGATGTATAATGACAATAAATACTTCATTGCAGTCCGATTTTTTTCATTGCACTCCTTGACTTTCATTACTAGAGCTTGTAGTTCATTTGCAAGTTATCAATTATTAGAATAGCATCATCACTACAGAAAAAATTACTGATGTTTGTTCCTCCAATTTTAAAAGCACAGTCATCTTGTTCTAATCCGGCTTCCCTCAATATATTCTGAATAAATTTGAGGAGAGTATGCAACTATTTATACTGGTAGCTATGTCTCACTCCTTAGCCAAGCTGGAGCCTGTCTCTTTCACCATGGTCTCCCCAGTATATGGTTTCCTTGTTTCTGTATATATTTTGCATGAGCAAGATGTTCCAGGATTCCTACATTGTATGGCTTGATATGGTTGATGTAATCAAAGGCCTTTTCATAATTAATAAAACAGACATTCACTTCTTTTGGGTATTCTTTGACTTTCTAAATCATCCATTGTGCCT